GCTTCTACAAGGTGGACCTCCAAAAGGTCCAATTACATCCTCAACCAAGGATTCTCAACAATGTGATTGACAGGGCCCTCAGCTGTGTCTGACCCATTTCCAGCACTATTGTCCTCAACCCTTCTCTTACGCCCCACAATACCAATCAGTCCCCTGGTCCTCACTTAGCACCCCACTAATATCCACGTTCAAAGGATTGTAAGACACCATTTCTGCCACCTCCAGCGGGATGCCACAACCAGACATACTTCCCCCTCCCTTGTCAGCCTTCCACAGGGATCATTCCCTCTGGTATAACTTGGTTCACATACCACCTCCACTCCCAACGTCTCCCCATACCTCCACAGTGCCTTCCCATGCAATCGCAAAAGGTGCAACGCCTGCTCATTTACTTCCTCCTTCCTTGCCATCCAAGGCCCCAGACATGCCTTCCAGGTGAAACAGCAATTTTCACCTGCACTTTACTCAATGCACTCCACTATATTTGCTGTTCCCAATGTGGTCTCCTCTACACTGGGGAGACGAAACTCAGAGTGGTCAACCGCTTTGCAGAACACCTATATTGTGTCTGGAAAACTGACCCTTCAGCACACCATCATGTTCCTTAGACAACACCTCAGTCTCAGGCTTGCTGCAGTGCCCCAGAGAAGCTCAGCACAAGTTGAAGAACAGCATCTCATCTTCCACTTGGGGACCCTGCGGCCTTTAGGACTCCATATAGAGTGCAATAAATTTGGGGCGTGACAACCTTCTTCCATGTCCTTCTCCTACACCAACATTACAGACCTTGTCATCACATGGACTGCTACCACAAAAAAAAAGCCTATTGTCAAGTACTAACGGACCCCATTAGCAGCTATGGAGTCTTCCAGGTTGACCGTTACCCTTATCTTTGTCTGCCCAACTGCTGTTCTCTCTCTCTGGGCTCCATCTCCATTGTTTACTTCTCCTCCACCCCTCCCTCAATCCAATTTTCAGCATATATACCAATCTAGTTCTAGCTACAGTCAGTTCTGAAAGAGGGTCAGTGGACCTGAAATGTTAACTATGCTTTCTCTCCACAGATGCTGCCAGACCTGCTGAGTGTCTCCAGCAATTTCTGTTTTCATTGATTTCCAGCATCTGCAATTTTTTTTGTCACATAATCCAACATTGAGTTCTAACAGTGGAGTAGGGTCCAGTCACCCACATTCTCCTGCTGAATCTTCTGACAAAAGTATGTCAGAAGGGTTACCACAAATTAGTGGATTGTCATTAGATGACTTAAGCCCTATAAAGGCCAAAACCATATGATCGCCCTAGCACAGAAATGTAGGCAGTTTGTCAAAAGTAAAAGGCGGTTGTGTTGAGTCAAGAGATCTGGAGAAAAAGTTGAAGATGGAGCAGAACAAAAGTGCAACAACACAGTATAGCCAAAGAAGAGAGCTGAACATGGTGCTATCTTTGCAGAATGTAGCTTACTGGAAGAGAAGAACAAAAAAACTTGCAAGAGAAAGCTAACACATGATCAAAACAAAATTCAACATTGAGGAATCGTCTTTTTGGTTCAAGAACTTCTCCCTAATCTCACACTCATGGATCAATTCAAATGGACTAAACCCAGTAGATTCATCTGGGAATCTCTGGTAGCAAACACTAAGAATTCTAATCTTTTAACCCAATCATGTGAATATTCGTCATAGTATACCTTTAATCCAAGTTTAGACAGTCTGATGGCATCTCTCCAAAGCTCCCTGCGTTCACAGATATGTCGGTGATTTCACTGACTTAAATTCAAACTGATGTATATAGAAAACTTGAAACATAAAGCTAGAATGGTATTGCATGGTATTTCAATTATTAGTCCATAACAAGTGAAAAAACAAAAACAAATATTGCTTGAAACAATTAAAACAACAAATTAATTCTCCAGTACTATTTAAGTGCAATTGTGTCAAAGGAATAGCTTCTGCAAATAGGACTATCTCATGTTGATTCTAAGGATATACTGGTGGCCTGCATTTATATAGTCATGGAGTCATACAGCACAGAAACAGACCCTTCGATCCAAGCAGTCCAAGTCAAACATAATGCCAAACTAAACTAGTCCCAACTGCCTGTTTCTGGCCCATATCTCTCCAAACCTTTGATTCACGTATCTATCCAAATGTCTTTTAAACAGTGCAATTGTACCCTCATCCACCACTTGTTGAGGAAGCTCACTCCACACGTGAACGACCCTGTGTGTAAAACATTTGCCTTTCATGTCTTTATAAATCTCTTTCCTCTCACCTTCAAAATGTGTCCCCTAATCTTGAAATTCCCCATCCTACAGAAAAAGCAACTACCATTAACTCCGTCTACACCTCTCATTACTTTATAAACTTCTATCAGGTCGCCTCTCAACCTCCCACTTTCCAGTGAAAAAAGTCCCAGCCTATCCAGCCTTTCTTTATAACTCAAACCTTCCAAACCCGGGAACATCCTGGTAAATCTCTTCTGAACCATCTCCAGCTTGATAAAAGCCTTCTCAAAACTGGGTGACCAGAACTAGACACACTATTCCAGAACACATCCCTCACCAATGTCCTGTACAACCTCAACGTGATTTACCAACTCCTATACTCAAGGGACTGAGCAATGAAGGCAAGCTTGACAAACACCTTTTCAACCACCCTGTCTATATATGAAGCAAACTTCAAAGAATTATGTACCTGCACCCCTCGGTTCCTCTGTTCTACAACACTACCCAAGGCCTACCATTAATTGTACAAGCCCTCCTGTTCTTTGTTGTACCAAAATGCAGTACCCCGCATTTATCCAGATTGATCTCCATCTGCCAATTTTCAGCCTGTTTGACCCATTTGATCAAGATCCCTCTGTAGTCTTAGAAAACCTTCTTCAAGTGTACTGTGCCACCAATTTTGGTGCTGTCCGCAAACTTACTAACAATGCCTACTATGTTCTCATCCAAATCTTTTATATAAATGATAAATAAAAGAGGACCCAGAACCTATCCCTGTGGATGACTGCTGGTCATAGGCCTCCAGTCCGAAAAGCAACCCCCCCCACCACCACTCTGTCTCCTGCCATAAAGCCAATTATGTATCCAATTGGCAAGTTCACCCTGAATCCCATCTCACCTAACTTTACTAATTAGTCCACCATGTGGAATCTGGTCAAAGGCTTTACTAAAATCCAAATAAATAATGACTACTGCACCACCATCCATCTTTTTGGTAACTTCCTCATAAAACTCAATCACGTTTGTGAGTCATGATTTTCCTCGTGCAAAACCACGCTGACTATCCCTTATCAATTTTTGCCGATCTAAATGTCCATGAGTCCTATCTCCAACAATTTACCCACAACCAAAGTCAGACTCACAGATCTACAGTTCCCCAGTCTCTCCTGACAACCTTTCTTAAACAAAGGTACAACATTAGCCACCCTCCAGTGTTCAGGTACCTCACCTGTAGTTATAGATGCTGCAATATTTCTGCAAGGGGTCTCACAATTGCCTCCCTTACTTCCCACAACATTCTGGGATACATTAGATTTTAAATTCTGCTTTGACAAATAGTCCTACAGAAACTACAAACACTTTACCAAGTGGTTCTTCAAAACCTGGTATGGGCATTAAAATTGCTGGCTTGATTGCATGTTGAATTTTATCTACAAAATAACATGAAAGGAACATTTTGAACATACCACAACCTTATGAAGTCCTGACAATTTATCAAAGCACAAGTTTTCCATGCACCTTCATGTCTGGCCAAAGGAAGTTAATGTGCTACTTGCAATACCTCCTTGCAATGTGTGGGCAGTACCATAGTATGGTGATCAATCATCCGTTCTCCAATGCAGGTCTGTTTCTTGACAAACGGGTTTCCATTCTCTCATTAAAGCTTCGCTTTTCATATAAAAGCATTCTGGAACCCCTTCAGTTTCAGGGTGAGCTGATTGTGCTTGCTTATTTAAGTCCAGATCTGCCCTTTGAGCTCAATTAATGCAGATATATCAAATACTCCATCTGAATGATCTCCATCTTTAAAGAAGGTTTTGGCTACTCTAACATCTGCTTCTTTTGTTACTTTAACCTCAGGTGATGGACTTTGTTAAGTTTTTGTTCTGCTCACCACACACAATAGGAAAACACCGAGAGAATTTGCCACTGCTACTATTCTGCCTCTTGAATCTCATTTGGGCTTTCCTTGATTGTGAGTAAAGCTATGACCTTTACTCCAGCCAAATCATTTCTGAGGAGTAAGTTAACTCCATCCACAGGTAATTTGTTAATCATCCCTATAGCTGCCGTTCCAGACAAGTCACATTCTAATTTTACTTTCTAGAAGGGAACTGAGCTACACTGTCTACTTATCTCCTTTATCAGCGCTTGGTTTTATTCAATCAGATGATTTGCCAGCACGTATTGAATCGCTGTTTCCACCCGAGCTTGTTTTCTAGGCTTAACTGATAAGGATGTTGTTTTATCAGTTCTGACTCCCCGAAATCCATATTATCTCTAACGAATGCACACATCCTGGCTAAATTTTCCTTTGCTGATCAAAAGTCACCAAAAACCTTATAAATTAAATGTTTCATACAATAATGGACAGAAAAAATGGACCCTCATTTTCAAAAAACAATATTTTGGTTTATATCTCAGAAATGTTTATTTGAGAATATGAAGGGAGAGACAGGGCTGGCGGTCGAGAGAGGCAGGGGTGTGAGGGGGACCCACGAGTGGGGGCATAGGGGTGAGGGGGAGAGCATGCGAGAGAGGGGGAGAGCATGCGAGAGAGGGGG